ACTCCCTCGTCACTTCCATTCCTTCCGCATCTGCCACCTGGAGAACACCGACCGACCTTCCGTTACGTAACAGCGCCCGTTCTCACGTGAACATTCCCTCAGGCCGTAATCGAGAGATCGATAGGGAATGACGAGCGAGTCACGAATCACTGGAAAATGACACTGAATCAGCAGTTGAGGTTAAAGACGACCGATTGTCTTCAGAGTCGTCGCACCGTGTAGTCTGGTCAATAAATTATAAAGATATTCCTGGTTCGAAACGTAACTGATGAGTTACGGGAATTCTTGGACGGGGAATCGGCCCGCATCGACGCCTCTGCCTACACTGGACAACGAGTGCGATTCGAAATCATGACGTCAGTATCTGCGCGTTCGAGACACTTACCTTGAACTGCGAAATGATTATGAACAGCGGTAAACATTTTTATTTGTGTCAGGGTAAACGTTTAACAGTCTCGTAATCCCTATGAGATACATATTTTGCATTACACAATTTTTCTCGCATTAAATTGCTGTTTCAGACATAATAAACGTCACGTCTAATTTAAATTCAAGTGATTAGTGACTGATGTTTCGACTCTCTTGTAGGAACCTTTAACAGATTCCTTCAGTTTCCCTTAAAATTCATTAATCATCCTATAATTCAAATACCACGGTGGTCTAGCGGTTAGAACGCTGGCCTTGTAATCCTGGGGTCTCGGGTTCGATTCCCGGCGGTGCCCGAATTTATAACTTGTGTTGGGCAAGGCCGTGGTCTAGGCAACACGGAGTTTTCCTCCGTGGCATCCCAACAATTACTCCATTCACACACAGAAGAAGGCAATGGCAAACCACTTCTGGATCATCTGCCAAGAACGTATATGAACAGGTCCCAGTCCGAGAAAAGGATGGAAGGATCCTGTTCATATGGACCTGTCGTCAGACAGAACACTAAATAAAAAATAATTCAAATATCTTAGTAGCTGACAGCACTGTTACGTAAACCACGCAAAATTAAATCAGATACGATCGCAGTCTTACACAGTAAACACCCACAATAAGATTTATATGATCTATAAGATTGAAACAAACAATACACGCGAAACTGGTCACAAATAAGACTAATGAGTGACGCAAAATTTCAAATGACTCGATGATATTGCAGATTAAGAAGGCGTCTTCTGCGATTTTGCGCCGAATACCCTGATCTAACTTAACTGACGTTTCACAAGCAGCAGATACGTCTGAAACGTCAAAAAACTTCTATTTCGACGCAACGTCCTAGAAGACAGTTATCTTGTAAGAAATCATTTGAAATCCCATTGTTCTCCGGAGTACAGCAAAGTTTTGTCTCAGCATTGATCATGATTGCGTGTCAGTCATCTAATTGTCGATCCCCTGTAGAATGCGCATCGTAAACGAGATCCCTGGTTTTGTGTAAGGAGCATTGATCATGATTGCGTGTCAGTCATCTAATTGTCGATCCCCTGTAGAATGCGCATCGTAAACGAGATCCCTGGTTTTGTGTAAGGAGATCCTGATGACGGAGGCAGTATGACCTCTGAAACGTTGGTTAACATCGACCAGACTACACAGCGCAACAACCCAGAAGACAGAAATCTTCATACTCTGATGACGGAGGCAGTATGACCTCTGAAACGTTGGTTAACATCGACCAGACAACACAGCGAAACAACCCAGAAGACAGGAATCTTCATACTCTGATGACGGAGGCAGTATGACCTCTGAAACGTTGGTTAACATCGACCAGACTACACAGCGCAACAAATCAGAAGACAGAAATCTTCATCTTAATACGTAAGAAATTAGCTAACATCATTACAGAGTCAGTTTCTTTATAAACTGACAAGTGAATATGATTCTATAACAATTGTGGCAATCACATAAACCTTGCTATTTGAATATTTCACTTTGCGTTTTCTTATAAATATCTAGAGTTTTGCAAAATCGCTGAAGATTCAAACGTGCTTAATAGATTTATAAGTAAAACAGACACTTGTTATATATGGTGAAACAACAGACTGATTAAATTTAGAACTTATTACGAAATTTCTAATCTTCTTAGACACTCGATAGAATTCTTTAATGGGGTCACATTTCCTATAACTAAAATCCAACACGAAAGAATCATGCGAGGATCAGGATTCGAACCACTAACCTAGGGACATGCTCAAAATAAATTTTAATATTATCATACCATTTTAATTTATTTATAAAAAATTAATATCTTGCACGTACTTAAATTACAGTTGATATTTGCATGATTAATTGCTTTAGATAAACCGTTCGTGTTTACTTATGACGTCAGAATACAGTCCATCTTGAAACAATACAGTAAGAGTAATCAGCGATTGGCGTATTCTTCCGATACAGGAATAGTTTAATAAACGAGTGGGGATCGAACCTCAGACCTAAGTGCAGGAATATAAGAGTCGCTGGTACTTACCCACGCGAGAAATCACTTAGTAGGAGAAACAACGCGACCGAATGTATCGAACGTTGCAGCCAAACTAAACCTCACTTTCTATTTACGTGGATAACAACCAAGTCAGTTCTCTCGCTGTTCACTTTTTTGGTGACATCTTAACAGGGAGCCATTTACTGAGGAAGATCCTGAGAGCAGCGCAGGGATACATAAGCACTGAACAGAAATGATTTTCCGAAAAAAAATCTATTTTAGAAGTTGGCTTTGTTCTGGGTTGTAGAGCCGTGTAATCTAACTATAATTTATATATTTTGCATTTTATTCTCTAAATTCTTTTATAAATTCTTTCAAATTCTTTAGTGTTTCTTTCAATCATTTACTTACAGGCCGATATGTACATCTAATAACATTTAAGAAAAACAACACCTTCGCCCAAAATGGAAAAACAAACGTAATGAAACATCACCAAAAAACTACAGAAATCATAATTGAGTTTTAAGTTCTTAGATATATTTTACACCTGATGATGGTTTTATAAAAACCGAAACATGTTGTGTAAATGTTCCGAAATGTAAATCGATCAATCGATATGGAACATGAATGATATTTTATTATCTTAATTATAAGAAATTTTAAATATTGTGATCAGACGGATTAAAATAAATAATTGTTATAATATTCACAATATGACGCAATTACACTATCTTATGACGTAAGTTTATCGACGTTTCAGGGGTTCTCAATGCCTCCATCATCAGGACGATAATCGCGGTGTTTGGATGATGTACAATAACCAAAATATTAACCATATAGAGTATTAAATATTTTTATATTAGTAATAATTTTAGACCACTTAATCTGTTATTTAAATAAAAAGACGTTCTGGCACAAGAACTGTCTATTGTACCTTTATTAGACCGGCCCTTTGTAAAAATATTATTATTTTTTATTTAGTGTTCTGTCTGACGACAGGTTCATATGAACAGGATCCTTCCATCCTTTTCTCGGACTGGGACCTGTTCATATACGTTCTTGGCAGATGATCCAGAAGTGGTTTGCCATTGCCTTCTTCTGTGTGTAAATGGAGTAATTGTTGGGATGCCACGGAGGAAAACTCCGTGTTGCCTAGACCACGGCCTTGCCCAACACAAGTTATAAATCTGAGCACCACCGGGAATTGAACCCGGGACCCCAGGATTACAAGGCCAGCGTTCTGACCGCTGTTCCTACAGTGGCAATCAGCAGGGGAAAATGCAACTTTTCTTACAAGAACAACAAGCCTTAAATATATAGAATGTCCCAATCATAATACGGGAATATTAACCTTGTCTTCGATCTTCATGTGTTTTTGTTTACTAGGGAATGTAGTGTGCTTTACTCTTCACAGATGGCACCACAAATTTTTCCCAAAATTTAGATATTCAAAATGGCGGAGTATCGATTGTTTCGAGAATTCGTTGAATGAATATAAATATACATATATATATATATACCATCGTTATGTATATATATATTTATATTGTTTTTCATTCTGTAGTATTTCCCTTATTATTTTACTACTAGATTTTTGGTTTAGTCACCGTAGAAGTGAGAAGAAGTTACTTAACCTCACGAGTTATGAATTTTTCCTTTATCATTACGTGGGTACTTTCAGAAACAATGAACACAAAAATAACTCCATGTTATAACTCTAGATACAAAAGAATGTTAGTGAACTGCAATCAAATTATATATACGCCGTAATTTCTTGGGGAAAAAATGTGTTAGTCTTAAAATAAATATTGTGTTTGCCGAAATGATTTTCTTTTCTTTGAGTTTGGACTCTCGTAATGTTTGCAAATAACCCAGTCACTTCGAGGTTTATTAATAGATGGTAAGAGCGCCCAACAATTAAAGCAATCTGAACTGTTTTCCATTGTTACAAGAGGAAATGAATTACTTTGTTTACATCAAAACTCCCGAGGACTTTCATTCGTGAAAACAATTTAAATTCCGTTGAATGTATATTTTCTTTTGATGACGTTTTATAGGTAACCATTGTTGTCGATTTGTTGATATTGGAGCTCCGAAAGGAGCGCTTTGCTTTAGTTATAACAAAAAATGTGATTATCATTTAAATCTCAAGTTTGTTTTGTTTTTAATTTTAAACGTCGATCACTCAATTCCACTGGTTTTTCAACGTCGAATATTAAGGCAATTATTGATGGTACATTAGTAGATGTGTGAAAGGAAGTTGTCATGTTACCCATTTAAGAAATTATCCCAGAAATTTCTTTGCAATATGGAGTATAAACTTGAGAACCTGTTTCAAGATCAGTAACTAAACCCGAGAAGGTTTCGTATAATCGAGAGGATATAACAGTGATTATTAACATATATTATTAATTTATTTCATTAAGTATTTGTAGTTTTCGTTAAATCAAAGAATTGTTGGTATCGATCCACATTTTAGTCAGTTTTCTCCAAATCTCGAAGCAGATTCACTAAATTCTGCATGAGAATGGATGTTAAGTAATCACAGAAAGAATAAATAAGATAGGTTAAGGATCAGACATGAGTCCATTAGTAAGTGAAAGTTTGTGCTGTGTTGACGAGTGGATAACTCGTACTTTTCCTGTCTTGCTGTCGTAAGTAAAGTAGATTAGATATAAAACGAAAATGAAGCGTCGCACGCAATGTCATGAACTGTGAATTCAGAAATAACCAAATGATGACAGACTAGACAAACATGTAAATTAATTTAAATAACTTTTTAACATAGAACAAAACATTACATTAACACTCAAAGAAAAACCAAACATCATAATTAACGTAACTAATGTTAACCTACAATAACGTGTTCTAAACTCATCTAACTTAACCAGGCTACACACAACCTAGCCCGAAATAACCCTTGCACAGTTACCAAAGTTTCATAATTTTCAAAATTCATAATTTTTTCACGATTTCGAAATTTCTAAAACTAGAAATTCATCAATTTTGGCGACAATTTAAAAATTTTAGAAATTTACTGATCTCGAAAAAAATTCCGTAATTTTTAGAAAACCCACGATTTTGAAAATTTCAAAATCCAGAATTAAAAATTATAAATTTCAACATTTAAAAATTCATGTTTAAATACCTATCCTAAACTAAAGTTTCTCAACGAAAACAAAATATACCGAACGTAACGTAACCTAACCTAGGCGGACCTCATTTAACATAGCCTAAACTGATAAGTTCTATCCTGATCCAACCTGAACTCTCCTCCTCCCCAAAAAAATTAACGTAAACGGAAACTTCATCCGATACCCACTTACATTTATACGAAAGACCATTATTATAGTAACCGCAGTATTTAAAAACGCATAACAGTGGTCGCCAGTGGTAACCATTGTAAACAAACAAACTAAGACTTCGATAGTCAACCCTTTGACCACCAGATCGCAGCACCTTAGTGTCCACCTCTCAAATTTTTGAGGTCGTTCAGAATGGCGCAACCTCCACGTCCCAATACGTCCAGTAGTTCTCGAGTATAGTCGACTGAATACACGGAGAGACACGACAAGCCCATAATAAATTTTCCCTGTGCACTTCGAGCAAGGAACGCACAAACACCCACATAATTTTGGTTGGGAAATCTCATTAGATGAACCTAGTCAGGTTTGCGATTATGATGGAAATGAGGCGGTAACTTCACACCTCAACGAAAGAATAAATATCGACCGGCTGGATAACTGTCAGCTTCTTAAAGAAAACCTTGAACCACGGAGAGAGCTGAAATGTAAACGAGGATTTTTTTTTTTGGAATCTTCAGCTCGCCGTTGCTAGAAGCAACCTCTTGTTTCCTGACAGCACAGACGAGATAAATTTAATGGGACTCTGTCGTGGAGATAAGCCAGTGTTGCAACGAAATGAATTGAGGCTGGTGAAAGTAGTGGCTTGTTGCATAGATCCTAGGGGTCTGGTCCGGTGAGTGTTCGTAACGGCACATCGAGGCAGAACTTCGATCTCGTGTTTCTTCATCATCGCTATACAACGCAAATACCAGGAAGTGTATAAAGTGTTTTCCGACGTGTGTTTTAACCTCGTCCTTATCTTTTTTTTTCTGTTTGATTATTTTACATTGAAAAACAAGCCAACTTCGCATGCGAAGAGTAATATTTGTGGATGGAAAATTTAGAATCGAGAACGACTTTGAAGAAAATTAAGTCTGTTTGACCTTAACGTAAGCCATTTATTCTACCGCGTGTCTTCCTCGTGTACATTTTAATATTAAGCTTTTATCTTCACGTTGGCGTACAATTATTCACCAGTCAAATACTTTCTCGCGGAAATGCACTTTTGTTCCTGCTGTTGAAATTATGTGGCATTCGGAGTACACTGAAACCCCAAAGGCGTTCTTTACGGCACAACATGGCTGTGAAATTCAATGTAATAACGAGTTCAATGGTGGTAAGAAGGATAATAGTGGTAATCATAGGTAATCGATGTAACAACGTGATTAAACTTTCAAAGAACGGATAACATTACTTGTCAGTGGTAACTGTTGAATGTAAACAGATTTCCACTATGTCCACCAGATCGCAGCACCATATTTCCCACCTCAAGAATTTTCTTATCCGTCATTTTGTTATCACAGATCGTAGGAAATTTAAATTAATATTCTAAGGTCGTGGATAATAGCACAACCTTCACGTGAAATTGTATCCAAATCAGTTCAGTTGTTCTTGAGTTGAATGGAATGGGCATACCGACGGACGGACAAAGACAAGCCCATAATGCGTTCTCGCTATGCATTTTGTGCAAAAAAAACCCATAACAATTGGGCACATTAAATTTCATATGTTAACGAACAGATGAAGATTTTTGAAAATTCGATTGCGATCGTATGTGAAGAACGAGTAAATGTGTCGTTAAGTTCGTAGTTTGTTCTTAAAAACAATTTATTTTTATTGGTAAGTGCAAAGAAAGTACAATATAGAAATCAAAATCTTTACATATCTTTGCTTCATTTGGAAAGTTGCCATAGGTTAACAAGCAAGAATGTATTTTGCTTTGTTGGACAGAAGATTATGTGTATAACTTGTGTTGAGCAAGGCCGTGGTCTAGGCAACACGGAGTTTTCCTCCGTGGCATCCCAACAATTACTCCATTCACACACAGAAGAAGGCAATGGCAAACCACTTCTGGATCATCTGCCAAGAACGTATATGAACAGGTCCCAGTCCGAGAAAAGGATGGAAGGATCCTGTTCATATGGACCTGTCGTCAGACAGAACACTAAAAAAAATAGCAGACCATAGATGAGAGGTTAATGGGGTACTTATCATAATAATAATTACTACGAACAATCTAATAAATTCTCATGCGAAGACATACATTTTAATTTGCAGATATATTTTACAGTGGTATTTGCTCCGAACACAAGAATAAATTACCAATATCAATAAAACATTAATTTAAATAAAAAGTTGCATTGTTACATTTTTTTAAAACACCGATGGATTATGGCGGAGGGGGGGGGGGTCATAGAAACTTGAAAGTTGAGGCAGGAACAAAGAAAGATAATAAAAAGTACAATAAAAGTAAAAATACAATAAAAACATGTGCACTGGCCTAGCATCAGGCTCTATTAAGAACTGCTATAGCAGACGAGATAAGTCGTTCTTAGTCTGTAGCTCAATCTCGGTAACCTCCTTGATCATCCGACCCGAGTGTCCGGGTTTAGCGGAGCTGATGCTGCAGTCAGGGAATATTTCGATGCTCCAGGTTTGTGCTGTGTTTGGCCACGGCTCTTTCATGTGGATGTCACAACCGAAACATTTTGCCTAGTCCATGGAATTTAACTCCAAGACACAAGCATCTGCTCCACTAAACTAACTAATTGGACGGTTTAGGGATCTCGAAGGTTCATCACCGAATTAACCAAAGTCCTCCACCGGACCCTGTCATGGGCCAACAAAATCCAGTCTATTCAAATTCATGAACTTCGTCACACTTTCAAAGGATTTATTCCTCCTAACTAAATACTAAAATAGATTGTAAATTCGTTCGGAATCGGTGAAATTGGGAATAAATATCACTTAAGCACAGGTGATAAGAGACGCCTCTGAGATCAAGGTGGGTCCTCACAACACGGTCAGATGTGGTGGCCTCCGACTAATCCGTCCATAAAGCCTCCAGCGAACGGAGTGCTTGTTCGGACCCTCTACCACGTCAACGCACACGTTACTCCGGGAAAGCCTTCTCCGGCCAGTAATCTCTTTTGTTTGTCGTACCTTCTATGTCAGCGTCACTCATTTTGGGTTCTCACTGTTCTAATTGCTCTTAAGAATCGCATTGTTCCATGGACGAGAATAACTTGCCCCACTGTAAGAATAATAATAATAATAAACAACGTAATCAGAGATTGAAAATGAAAAGCAGAGAAAAACTAGTAAAGATATAAAGCGTACCTTCGTTATGCACGGAACGTGTCCTCGTCTGCTTAATACTGAACATTTGCTCCCAAAAAAGTAGGTAATTTCTCAAGTTACTCGCTTTTATGGTACCCTGATGTTCAAAAAAAAAACCAGCATTTGGCCCCATCCCAAGCCATATGAAACTATTCAACATTATTGCATCGTATTTATTTAAACCCTTCACTATCAAACTTAATTCCCTTCGCTACATTCAATTACGTAGTGAATAGCATAATTTATAAATATCTTCATTATTATATATTATTCTTTATAATCCTATTGATTTCTCTCTCTAATGTTCGAATATTCTCCACAGTAATTTATTCCTGAACTTTCTTCTATTTAACTAGTAAAATTAAAATCATATTACATGTTCGTAAATTAAGAAAGTAGTCTGTAGGGACTTGGATACATTCGAAACAAAAATTGTTACACTTCATCACATTCTAGAGTAGTCTAATTTACTTAATTTATTTAAATTCTTATTAAAAATATACTAATATATTTAGTAGCAATTTTACTTGGTGTATTAGCGTCCTCTGTACTAATGTATTCTTATATATATTTTTTTTATTGACTATCTATGTTTGCTATTATATTTATTATTATATTCCTCTCTTGTGCTGTATCTGTAATTGGCCTTCTGGCTGTTGATAAATTGACTTTAAAACAAAAGGCGAGAGACACTTACCAATTACGACAGAGAAGATAGTAATGAAACGCGGATACACCACATTCTCCCTGACGACGTCGTCCATTACGGAGTAGAAAAAGGCGCTAATGCAATCGAACAAGAGACTGACCATTGCGTTCATCAGAGCGGGGTATAACCATTTCGGTTTGTTCTAGTAAACAAACAAGACATATAGTAAGATTTGTGGTTCTGACGGCGGACGGTTTGTTCTAGTAAACAAACAAGACATGTAGTAAGATTTGTGGTTCTGACGGCTGAGAGTGTGAAGATGGATGTCCTCTGGGTTCTTATACCCTCATGATTGAGGCAGCAAGCAGCTCTGAAACGTCCGTAAACTTATACTAAATTCCACGGCCAACAACCCATAATAAATCCATGTCTGTGTTGGGAAATGTCGGATTTGAAGTTTTCAAGGTCAAGTTAGACTGTGATCTGGGCTGTGTAAAATGTGTGAATGTTTCGTATGTGTTTTGAGAGATTTTCAGTTTTTGAATATTGCTTTGACGTGTTCTGAATCCAGGAGGTACTTACCGTTACTATTCCATAGAACATCATTAACGCTGTGATGATATTTGTAACAGCTCCCAAAATACTTGGTTTCACTTCAACAATAATACCTGGAACAAAACATAACTCGATTATAGAATTTACGTAGCAGGATTTTTACGTTAGTAAAACAGAATTTGAATGTGTTTAAGACAGCGTTGCATATATGAACTCACCAGAGCTAAAATGATATGTCAATTCGTACGTCTCATAAAATGAGTCTTTTTCTTAACAACAAATTTAAAGTGTTGAATAATTTGGTGCATTTACTAGAAAATATTATCAACTGTAGTAAGAATATATTTTAATTAATTACAGTGAATAAATGTAAAAACATAACCTACAAAAAAATAAGTTTTACTTTTTTACTTAGAAGCAGTGTGGACTAGCCTTTCAATACGTCGCACGATGCCTTACCCACAGGGGCGAGTGGTTCGTGTTCATGAGCAAAGCAATTACTTCATATTACTCACAGGCCAAAAGACAGTAAACAATCACTTACCTGAATTGACTTCTTCGAGGACATCCCACGTGTCCCGGCTTACAAGCGTACCATTGGAGAGAATAGCCCATTGACTGTCTCCAGTACTCATCAGAAAGACCGACGTAACCTGCATATCACGAAAACGTACACATATAGAAACAAACGACTGATACATCGCGAATAAATCGTGTAGAATGTTGAAGGGTTTCCGACGTTTCGGTAGAAATTGATGTTACCATCTCTGAGATAAATGTTCTACAGAGGAGATGGCAGTCGGCGGTCAGTAGGAGATGGAGGCGCGAATGGACAGGCGGTCACTTCCGGAAACCGCCTCCAGCCGAAAGGCATTCACCACGTGTCATCTGCAGTGTTTGTTGAAACGTCGGGAAACCTTCGGCATTCTAAGATGGTTATCTCCGAAAAAAAGAAGTTTATTCTATCGACAAAATATATCGGAATTTGTGAGTCGATATATGGGCCTAAACGACATTCGGATTCAATACGGTCCATAACGGCCTCTTAATTAGATCTTTTTTTTTTCAAAATGCAATTAGCAAAACAATAATATTTTGTACAGTTCGGGTAATAACATTTTTAATTGCGATATTATTTTCAATTCTTAATTACTGAAAAATAATATTATCGATTTCCTGGCTAATTTAGTATATGTGAATAATCTTTCTGGTATAAGGCTTCAAAAATATTTCCATTAAACGACATTTTCGTCGTCACGTGTTAAATTTTCCTTGTAAGTTGATGTGGATATTTCGTCAATGGTTAATATTCGTGGACCGCGTAACACTAGACAAATTACAGATGTTCTATAACCGAATACCACGGGACTTCAGGGAATCTTGACAAAGTTACTTTATTCCAACTCTCAATAACGCTACATTTTACCCATAGTGTGTATTTACGTCTTTCGTAATTCTCATACTAATCAGCTATTGTTTCGACTGATTTTTATAATGAAGACAAGTTGAGGTAGACAGGAATTGAATTAAATATTTGTAAACGAGTTTTGCGCTACAAAGGCTTAAGAAGGATTTTTTTTTAGTGTTCTATCTGACGACAGGTCAGGTCCATATGAACAGGATCCTTCTTCCATCCTTTTCTCGGACTGGGACTTGTTCATATACGTTCTTGGCAGATGATCCAGAAGTGGTTTGCCATTGCCTTCTTCTGTGTGTGAATGGAGTAATTGTTGGGATGCCACGGAGGAAAACTCCGTGTTGCCTAGACCACGGCCTTGCCCAACACAAGTTATAAATTCAGGCACCGCCGGGAATCGAACCCGAGACCCCAGGATTACAAGGCCACAGAATATCTCTGAGGATTACGTTCATAAGCCATCTATGCTAAAGCAAATGCAAAGTTATCCCAGTTTTAAAGCTCTGGACCTTAAAAAATATGGTTGAGGTCTGTCTCCACGATTTCGGTGTACTAGATGGTGGTGAGTGGTAAGTTAAATTCTCAGGCTACTCCATATCTGTCTCTCGTCGGGTAAGAAGACGTTCGATGCGCCCCTGAGCCAGTGTGGACGACAAATGAAACATGACGAAGGAATATTTTGCTTTGCAATACGCACGCATTTGGCTCCGTTGGGATTTTGAGTCTTCCCTAGCAAGACACTAGCTTCTAACCGTCGGGTCCCGGGTTCACTTCCGAGTGACAAAGTGAGATTCGTGGAATGAAATGGTTTCTTAGGTTTATCCCTACCAATCAACATCCCGCCATTATTCCACGTTTATGTATTAACGCCCGACCAGGTGTGCGATGACCCTGGACCAATCAGCACATCATCACACTCTCGGTTCTAAGTTAGATACTTCATCGCTGACCAGAAACTTCGCTGGCCTTGGAGTAAAGTCAATTTCGTCTTTAATTCAAACAAAGGTTCGACGCAATCAGAGACAGACCCGAAACTTGTTATAAGTTCCCTACGTATGAAAATGTATATCAAATGTAATAAACACTTACAAGTTTCGCGATGCATAACAAAATTGCCATCAGCCTGTAGACAGTTTTTGCTGTTATAATCGATGCCATCTGAAACAAAAGTAGTATTACATTAATATGTCACGTATTTATTCATTATAGAGACAATTTCTCAGCTGTTAGCAGAGAGCGTTTTGTTATACGTTCAATTGTCTTCATTTTATATCATATAACCTTTACTTGTGAGGTCCCCTAAGAAGGCTGTACGCTGTAATACGAAGAATCGGATCTCCGAATGGACACAAATATTCAAATATTTTTAATAACTTTACATTGAAGTACGTTGTTTTTTTTCGTTTATTATCGATGGATAACTAACACGTAAATTATGTAGGCTACCTTACTGACGTCCCTTATAAAATAAATTATTCCGATATTTATCTAGATAAATATAAGTTTTAAAGACGTGAATTTACTCACCGTTTTAATCTTTCCAGTGCACGTTTTTATCCACACACAAGTTAATGTTAGTCTAATATCCGTGGCAACGAGAGTTGTTGACATTCAACATTCGGTGCATTCGGTAATTAATTGTTGTTGTTAATTCAGATACTTAGCAACGAAAATAACAAACTGAAATTCTGTTTACGATTAAATAAAGAATCTTTTTAGCCTGCCAGATTTTACTGTTATAAATGTAAAATGATTTAGAAATAGTTATTCTGTAAATGAGTCGTAAAGTAAACAGAATTTTGTTTTAAATGTGAGTGGAAAATTATAAACTAACCTGGTCATTGAATCACGTAAATTTCAAAAGAAATGTCGCCCCATCAGATATTTTCAGGAATAAAACTTTGAAGAAACAGATTAAATTTGACAAATTTTTGGTATTGATTATGTCAAGCTGTACCGAACGACTTGAGTGACTCCAGGTATTAGAGGACCCATAAAAATCAAAATGCGAGTTACTGGGATGGGCCCTATGAACACACACACAATTTCCTGTTTACACATGTAGCCAGGCTTTTTAAATTAAACTCACACGTTAATTTACGATTATACCACTGATTTTTTATAAGCTTCTTTGAGCATAATATTCATTAGATGGTAAAGTTGCGTCATATTGTGATATAATAAATATATATTATTTAAATCTTGTCCGTCTAATCACAATAAATTCTTATTAAATATTAAAATATTACAATAATTAACATTTAAAATATTTAAAATATTAAATGATGTTCTTTATCGAAATATTCGATTTACATTAGACCATCATGAAAAAATAAAAAATAAAAATGATGGTGTAATGTAAATAGAATATTTCGATAAAGAACATCATTTAATATTTTAAATACTTTAAATGTTAATTATTGTAATATGGTGCCGGAATTTATAACTTGTGTTGGGCAAGATCGTGGTCTAGGCAACACGGGGTTTTCCTCCGGGGGCTTCCCCGGTTTCTCCGTGGCATCGCAACAATTACTCCATTCACACACAGACGAAGGCAATGGCAAACCACTTCTGGATCATCTGCCAAGAACTTATATGAACAGGTCCCAGTCCGAGAAAAGGATGGAAGGATCCTGTTCATATGGACCTGTCGTCAGACAGAACACTAAATAATAATAAGATGAGGTGGTCTAGGCAACACGGAGTTTTCCTCCGGGGGCTTCCCCGGTTTCTCCGTGGCATTCACACACAGAAGAAGGCAACGGCAAACCACTTCTGGATCATCTGCCAAGAACGTATATGAACAGGTCCCCAAAACCCCTTCGGGGGGGGGTTGGTTGCGTTTTAAAATCTTGAGTAAGACACTAAACTAACCCCCCCGAATGCCGGGGGTTAAAACACTTGAACAACCCCCCTTCTGAGGGGGTTCAAGTGTTTGGTTGCGTTCTGGAGAAGTGATAATGCGACTGGCTTGATATTTTTTAATTTCTTTGTTGTGAAGCGTTATATTTGTTTACTCGGCATTGTTGTGTTCCACAACAATGCCGTGTAAACAAATATCTGTTGACATTGTTGATGACGTCATTTTTTGATGACAACGAGGAATCACAAATTTTTATAGTAAAAAAAGAAAGACTGCATTTATTACGCACTTTCAGCTGAACTCCTATTAAAGTGCCTCTCTCTAGTGTCCAAATAATTTTGATTTGTTCAGTTTCTTGCCTTCTTCCGTGTGAGGAGACGAGGAACTAAACTGAATGAGGCGAAATCAGTGTTATTTGGTTTTGCAGTAAAACTGAAATTTTTGGAATCCATCTTGCACCGCTAATCCTTAAGGCCATTTCAAATCAATCTCCTTTCTGAAACCGAGCATCTACGGTGGTATATAATGATTCTGTGCCCTGCAAAATGTATTTACCATAAAAGAAACAGTGTCTTTACACAGGCTGATTGACGAATTTTATTTATTTATTTAGTGTTCTGTCTGACGACAGGTCCATATGAACAGGATCCTTCCATCCTTTTCTCGGACTGGGACCTGTTCATATACGTTCTTGGCAGATGATCCAGAAGTGGTTTGCCATTGCCTTCTTCTGTGTGTGAATGGAGTAATTGTTGGGATGCCACGGAGAAACCGGGGAAGCCCCCGGATTGACGAATAGGGACTTTTAAAGAATCTGGGGGGGTACAGACATGTAGATATTCAACAATATGTATACGTACCTTAATAATAATCAGGATATAATATTTATCCAGATCAAAGTAGAATAAAAATATAAGTTTTGACTTTTTGTTTGCTGAATGAGAAAACATAGTAGTTCCAACAATCAAATGTGATGTATATTAAATAGGAAACATGTGAAGGATTATTGAGGGGGGGGTAAGAAACTGAATCAAGGAAATAGTATGAAGGAGAGAGATAAGAATGGCCGGCAGTTATGGCGTACGATAACGCGGAAAGAATATAAAAATCCTAAAAGGAATATTTGTTTCTACACTTTTATTTTATAAACAAAAATATACACATTTAAACAAAAAAAAATATGAAAAAGCGTCTCCATTTTGAGCAGTCTTGTATTTTAATTGAGTTTCAGAGAGACTCTGGCTCCGAATAGTCGATTCATAGCCACAGTTTGGTGCAGCTTCTAGTAAACAAATGCATGTGGGTACAGAATTCGGAATGCACTGATCTGTTTGTTACATCAAAGACTTTTATTGGACTAGCTTGATAAATCTTTTCGAAATGAACCGCGAAGAATCGCGTGCCACTGTATTTTCCGTCGCCGATTAATCAAATATCTTCTTCTGTTTCCTTGGCTGAACGACATAACTGAATGGGCAGTGTTTGCAGTGACCTAACAGAAGCATAAGCTACGAGATAGTTGAGAGAACAAGACGGTTGGTCAGTACGGAGATGAGAGCTGCTGGATGGACCACGGACAGAGATAGCAACAGAAGGGCCTTTTTTTTAAAAAAAAAACAATTCGATGAAGGTCTTCTGAATTTTAACCTCTTGTGGACTCGATTACCGTCTTGAAAATATATGCATTTTCGGTAGACAGTATGAAGAAAAATATATTACAGAGAGACAATATATTTGAAGAAAACATGGTTGATAAACTGAAGAAGGGAGATCAAGAAGTTAATGTTGGACGATAATGAACATAACAGTTTCCATCCATACACATGTGAAACCGGTACGTAAATTCAGAAGCTTAATTCAGAAATAGTTAGAAGCTTCGGACGCTAAAAAGTTCACTCATTAGTGTCGCCGGAAGATGGGCCCAAAATTAATGAGAGGCGTGAAATTTTGAGGCAGGACCCTGAGGACATGAGATATAAATACTAATAGTACAGAATCCAGCAAAAGAACCACACGACCTTCATGCAGGCGCCGACATAACCATCGCATGGGTGAGATGGCCATCACGTAGGTGAGATGACCATCACGTGGGTGAAATGGCCATCACGTGAGTGAGATGGCCATCATATGGGTGAGATGGCCATCATATGGGTGAGATGGCCATCATATGGGTGAGATGGCCATCATATGGGTGAGATGGCCATCACGTGAGTGAGATGACCATCATATGGGTGAGATGGCCATCATATGGGTGAGATGACGTCGGAAGAAGCAGTCACTGTGGGCCGGGAACGTATGCTTCGTGCAAGAACGTAAATCAAAACGATCGACATCACCAAGAGCACGTACTGCACGGCTAGCTGAATATGGCGCGTCGTGAAGGTCACGTGGTACAACAAGTCCATGATCTCTTCTGGCAGTCCTTCGATTCCCTGCAATAAGCAATTATTTGTTCTTGTATTTATGCATCTTACGTTCCTCCGAAAACATTGGTAAGAACCTACGACACTACACGGCATCACAAGCCATTATACCACAGTGCACGTTTCCACAGAGGAGGAAACTAGAAATGTTTTATTCGTGTTTAAAGCCACTTTTCCCCTCTGTTCGCTTCCAAGAGGTAATTAATCCTCATGTACCAAGCCTTAGGAGGATATTTTCTTTTTTAATTCCTAAATGCGACGTGATGGCAAATTATTTTGTTAGTGACAGTATATTACGCGTTAGAGGATAATATTATGATCAAGGCATTTAACACACGACAATTTATTTGTATTTAGGTACATGTGTCATTTTTCCCGCCAATAAGCTTTGTATGTGTCATTGGAACGCAAATGCGTTTACAATTAGTCATAAAGCCCCCCCCCCTCTTCCAAGCAAATTACAGAACAGTAAAATTACCTATCGAAAGCCTTGTCCATTATCCTGTGATCACCTTTTTTTCAGATTCAAAACGCAGTGCACTTCACAGCATACAGACGTTACCCACAAGTTAAAAGTAATTTTTAATTCCACCCTCAAACTTCTATTAATCCATTCCTGTTTAAATTTGCATGTTTTTGGTTGTTATAATTTAACAGGAATACAGTCCTGTTAGCTTTAGTTGCATAAAAGTTACGAATCCAAGTACTTCGTCATAATGAGTATTTTATTCATCAACCTACTTGAATCATAGCTAAGTTTCAGATTCAATCAGATTTAATTTGTGACTGTGTCAGGTTTTTTATTTAGTTTTCTGTCTGACGACAGGTCCATATGAACGAAACCGGGGAAGCCCCCGGAGGAAAACTCCGTGTTGCCTAGACCACGGCCTTGCCCAACACAAGTTATAAATTCGGGTACCGCCGGGAATCGAACCCGAGCCCCCAGGATTACAAGGCCAGCGTTCTGACCGCTAGACCGCCGTGGCTATTTCTGAATAATTTATTTATTTATTTTATTTAGTGTTCTGTCTGACGACAGGTCCATATGAACAGGATCCTTCCATCCTTTTCTCGGCCTGGGACCTGTTCATATACGTTCTTGGCAGATGATCCAGAAGTGGTTTGCCATTGCCTTCTTCTGTGTGTGAATGGAGTAATTGTTGGGAGGCCACGGAGGAAAACTCCCTGTTGCCTAGACCACGGCCTTGCCCAACACAAGTTATAAATTCGGGTACCGCCGGGAATCGAACCCGAGCCCCCAGGATTACAAGGCCAGCGTTCTGACCGCTAGACCGCCGTGGCTATTTCTGAATAATTTATTTATTTATTTTATTTAGTGTTCTGTCTGACGACAGGTCCATATGAACAGGATCCTTCCATCCTTTTCTCGGCCTGGGACCTGTTCATATACGTTCTTGGCAGATGATCCAGAAGTGGTTTGCCATTGCCTTCTTCTGTGTGTGAATGGAGTAATTGTTGGGAGGCCACGGAGGAAAACTCCCTGTTGCCTAGACCACGGCCTTGCCCAACACAAGTTATAAATTCGGGTACCGCCGGGAATCGAACCCGAGCCCCCAGGATTACAAGGCCAGCGTTCTAACCGCTAGACATTACAAGCACGTAAATGATAAACGTGGCAGTGACGTCATCTTACGTATCTAATAAATGACAAAACATTTTTAAACGAAATGTTTCCGTTTGTGATGATTCAATAGAAGTAGAAGTTCTTTTATTTAAATTAGACCATATTCTCACATTCAAGTATTGGATCTAGTCTATATTAAGTTGCCATTCAGCTCAGAAGATAAATTATTACGACACGTTGCAGTCGAATGGTTGGCAAGCCTGTTTATTTTATTTTTGAGGTTCCTTGTTCAAACGTGAGCCTAGAAAAAGCCCAACCTGAGTGACGTTTTCCTCAGTAATTCCATGCAAAATCAGTTATAATACCGCAAAATAGGCCACTACCACATCTTTCCGCTTTATTTACAGTTAATTAACACTGGGATTTTACCCTATGTAAGCTGAGAAAGTTCCGTTACATGAGTGGAGTTTAGTAGCTGATCAAGCGAGCTACAATAGCAGTTCTTACTTGTTTTCTGTGTTAGTTCTAAATACGACCAGAGCAGGCGCTGCTTTCAGTTTGTAGTCAAAGTTAGGTTATGTTTTTCACTTCGGATATAAATTTCAGGCTAGTCTGGTTGTGTATAGCCAGGCGAGTTATTTATTATATCTTGAAGTTACTATGAAGCGGAGGTGGTTAGATTCTACTTCAAGCAGTAAGTTATGGTCTGAGCGACTCAGTCGAATTCGCAATTATTTCCGCGAATTTCTCTTGACAGCCTTCCATATTTGTAGCACGGGGCCAGTAACCTAAAAAATTGACATACGCAAGCCGTTCATCTAGTCTTTAAGTTTACCTCATACAAAACATGCAGACGGTACATTTATGTGCTTTTACACGGTGGTGTATTATTATTCGTATTTATTTGCGACGTTTTATCAACTGGGCAGTTTATTTAGCGTCGAATGACGTAACAAGCTGATCACGTATTTTGTGCCAGAGACAAATTAGAAGGGGCCAAACGTGGCGGTCAGACATCTACAACTACTACTCAGTATTTCGGAGTTTCACGCTTATACCAGGAGACTGTCTATCCTCACTGAGGTTTTCTGTGATTTTCCTCAGTTCATGCATGAATTATAAACTTGATCACAAAACTTACTCCAAACAATTAACGACGTCTCCTTACCCTGGCAAAAGCGTTTGTTTGTTTACAGTGGTAAGAACGGCGGATATATCGAGTGTTTTCTTCAGAATTCCAACTTTGTTTTTAGTTTCAGACTTAAGGCGTAAAATGTTGATATTCTAAAATAAATTTATAAGTATTTATATGGTACTTACCACATCAAACCAAGCAATGGGCAGTATGGATCCGTCTTTGAAGTTTGCAAGTTGTCGCAGCGTGGAAGACGATCTGACCATCATATTTAACTGAAACCTGGATTTGCCATCCAGAGGCACGCCCAACTCCTAAAAGGGAAAACCCGGAAAGATATTTAGATGGAGCTTGTCTGTATAACACACCACTAGACCTACATTCGAGAAGTCCTGGGCTGAAACTCGGGACTGTAAAGTTAGTTTTTTACCTCCATATCTCACCAATAAAGGTTTAAGTTGTGTATTGTTCCAAGCAGGTAATTTCATGATTTAAGTCTCCACAATTATCGTCAGTCCTTCTAAGATAATGATGGAATATTACATAAAAATAGGCCACGATCTTTACCTTCGGAATCGCTATTCATTATCATGTATATTTTAATTCTCCGTTTGTACAGTTCACAAATTGAGAATTAGCAAGGCAGCTGTGGTAGGAACAGGTATCCTTGAAAATTCTAATACCGTTTCTGCGTAACACAGACTTTCTCTTCACTTGTAAACTTTCACTAATAACATCCTCCTACACTTTAATCTCAACACAATCTGTGCCATTTTGATAAAATAATTTTTGAATTACGTTATATTTTGCTAATCAAACTGACTATAGGACACTAACAAAGCAGATGCAAACCTTTGTCCGGTGAATGAGCTCGGAGTTATTTTGCGTACACTGAACTTTAATCTAACCGACCCAGACATCTAAAGGTACCTGAAATTTCATTGGCTTAAGTAAAGTCTCAAATTACTTCGAAGTACTTCGCTTACTTAAATAGATTTAGTGTTTTTGTGACAGATTCGTTATCAGTGCTTCTCAATAAGCCAAGTTCACACTTGCCTCGTGAAGATCCAAGTATCCGTAGTGTTTCTGGGGGTCGGGTTTCAGCCCTTCTACCGTCTGCAGGAGGCTGGGGTCACCCAGGTAAAAGTGCGGGAAAGATATCATGACTGGTGCACCTGAAACATGTAAACCAGCGAGTGTGGAGACCCTCGGACCTGGAGACTGCCATTGATCAAACCAAATATTAATTTCATACAGTAACACAAGAATGTAGTAAATAATTCATTCATGAGTAAACAACGAGATTGGATTTTATGACTTTTTTTTTAAACACAAAAACTACCTTTTGAATTACCATCTTGTATTTGAGAATTTCAGCAGTGTAATTAATGTTAGTTCAACTGTATTTCCCACCATTTTTAAACATTAGAAACATGTGATTAAATCTCCTCGTGTTTTATTTTGAGCTTTGGTTGTTTTATACGCAAGTATCTTATTTAAAGTTCGTTCTGTTCATAATCTCTCAAAATAAGAGCTCATGTTTCGACATGACACAACAGCGGGTAAAATTATTGAATCACACACCAAACCTTAACTTCAGGTTGTTATAAAATAGACGAAACCACATACAATATGAACTAATTATAAATATAAAGAATGAATTCGCTCGTATTTTTAAAATATCTGGTTGTGTAAATCAGTACAAATCATATTCATAAAATAAGTGGGCTTGATGGTAGGTTGTCTGTTGAAAGCGGTCATCCTGACAGACGTCTCTGATTCCTCTTAGCCTTACCGAAAGCACATGGCGAGGCGTTGAATATCCCGGAAGGCGGACATGTCTCGGTGTCGGGGTGACAATAGCACGCGTTTTCCGGGTTGACGTCAGGGTTTGCGAACACGTCACGAGGCGCCCGGAACCTCAGAGCTGGGAATCTGCCGTGGGCCTAAAACAAACGAGCGACTGGAGCGACAAGTCTGGGTTAAGGGCTTCGAAGGCCACGGGTTCGTTCCGAACATTCTCCTCCAAGGCAATTGAAAAGAATATTGTAAATACAGAAAAATATTCTGTTCGTGAAGTGGGTTATGGTAGCGTTAATTCTTGGTCAGACACTATTCTGCAACTAGATTACAGGTTGGACGGCCAGGGTTCGGTTCCCGAATATACACAATGTTCAGATCGGATCTGGGGCCCAAAAAGCTTCTGATTCCAATGGGTACCAGGATTGTTTTCTAGGATAAAGTATTCACATCTATCTAATGTTGATAAATGTGTGTGGAGCAATTGATACGTACAGTTACCCACACGTCTGCATGTCGTGGTGCTTAGTTTAACTACCATTGACAAATTTACTCCGAACTTTACAGGCACGTTCGTGGTTTTCGCGAACTTAATAAAATGAGTAACAATTATTATTTATTTTTTTATATTTAGTGTTCTGTCTGAGGACAGGTCCATATGACCAGGATCCTTCCATCCTTTTCTCGGACTGGGACCTGTTCATATACGTTCTTGGCAGATGATCCAGAAGTGGTTTGCCATTGCCTTCTTCTGTGTGTGAATGGAGTAGTTGTTTGGATGCCACGGAGGAAAACTCCGTGTTGCCTAGACCACGGCCTTGCCCAACACAAGTTATAAATTCGGGAACCGCCGGGAATCGAACCCGAGACCCCAGGATTACAAGGCCAGCGTTCTAACTGCTAGACCACCGTCTTTTTTTAAGGTATGTTTATGTATTTTATGTTGTAATGTCCAATTATGTATTTTAACTCTTCGGCCCTCGTTAAACATATCTTTTTTGTGGCCCGTCTGCCTGAAAAGTTGATACCCCTGACCTAGACCGTCCAATTGAGTTTGTTAAGGGTTTTTCTGCACACGGAACAACGCGTCATCAGGACGGAGACTTCCTTACTTTCTCAAACGCGTGAGAGAGAAAGTGGTCTGACCGTAGGATATGAGAAAGTTTGATCAGTATGGTATATTTTACACCTCTTATTTTACGTAAGAAGATGAGCTACTAGCTCCGAATTTTTTTTTAAATTTTAGTGTTAAGATAAATATCCCACGATACACATTTATTAGAGGTTTATTGGATAAATCAGCGTAAAAACGCTGAGCAATTCTCGAGTTAATAGACGCAGATGAAGATACGTGGTGAAGCAGAGAAACACCTTTTCACAACTTCTCATTACGAAGGTGATAAAATCTTAATATACAGAGTGAACTAAGGAGGGTTACGCAACCCATTCCTGAAGCACGTTCTAGTTTAAAAATATATAAATTAAAATCATAAAAACAAAAACACCTCGTTCAGCGAATAAGTATTTAATATTTTTTCCTATTTTTTTTTATTCAAACCAGCGAAGACGAGACTTTATCGATTTTGTTTAGCACAGGAGAATCCGGAAACGTGTCCCTTTACTCATTCTGGAAAGTCCAGAAACTGGTACGAAATTGTATTCGACAATTAGCAATCGCTGCTCTTTTGAAAAAAAAGAAAGAAATCTTTGCACTTTGAGTGTTGAAAGACAACTCAAGGACTGGCCGCTAGCAGATTACGACATGATGTGACCTGCGTGGGCTCTCGTACAGTCACAGCGTTCTTATGTTCTGTTAATACGAGGTGCGAACCGGATGTAGTACGAGATTCTGCCGCTAGGGGGTGCAGGCTACATTCATAGTGAATCAGTGTGCCAGCCGGCATCATCGAATTAGCATTTGTTTCTTAGTTACGGGCGTTTTGGTAGTGCATTACACCGACCCTCCTGCGATTTCGGAATGGCGTGTGCATCAAATTTTGCCAAAGACTCGCCAAAACGGCTACGGAAACCTATTAAATGCTCAAGCAAGCATTTGGGGAGTCCGCAATGGGTCGTGCACCAACTTTTGTGTGGCATTCACGTTTTAAAAATGGCCGAACCTCTGTCGATGATGACGAGCGTTCTGGACGACCATCTTCGAGCACAACGCCCGAAAATGTTACGAAGCTCGACGTCGTACCATCAACGACTTGTGCGACATTGTTGGGATAGGCTATGGGACCTGTGAGCTGATTCTAAAGGAAGAACTCCACATGCGACGCATCATGACAACGCACCAGCGCACACCGCCTTCAAAGTTCGGCAGTTTTTGGCCTCAAACACCATGGCCGTCATCCCGCACCCTCCTTATTCGCTGTGTGACTTCTTCCTCTTCCCAAAGATGAAAATTCAGCTAAAGGGAATGAGATTTGAGACGATAGAAGAGATTCAGGCAGAATCGCAGATGGTGCTTGACAGGCTGAGAAAGAAAGATTTCCAGGGATGCTTCCAGGCTTGGCAGCGGCGCTGGGATCGTTGTGTTCACTCCCAGGGGAACTACTTCGAGGGTGATGGATGAATTTAATACCTGAGATAAGTGTACGGGTTTTTATACGCGCAGTCTTAAAACTTTCCGATCGCACCTCGTACAATCGAATCGTATTGAATTTCGACTGTCAATAAAAGTTTTAATACGGGTTTAATAACAATTCTTTCAATCTGTATTAAACATACGCTACTACGATTATCAAGAACATCTGAGACGTAGAGGTTCACCTACTATAATATCCTCGCTGTATTCCAGTGGAAACCGCCTGCAGATTTCCCCGCTGAAGACGTGGATGGTCGAGTTGCGTTTCACGAGGTTGGGTGGAAACAGCGATCCATCCGTTCCGTCAATCCGGTTACAATCTTTGCCGCTCCAGTGGTGAAGTCGCTCTTCGCCGTTGAACCTCGATATCACTCCCAACATCTGCACGTCCTCCTTACCGGTGTACATTGTAACGCGGTTTCTCAGTATCCCGTTCTTCTGAAATAAAAAACTTCACTCACAGTCTTCCTTTAAGTGAACAGAACAGTCAGCAAATTGTTCATATAAAAGGCGCTGATAACGCAAGATAACGCTGTAATATCCGTGGTTGGCCCTGTAAGTTGTGACGCCGTGTGGACTTGTAAGTGGTACCAACGTTCTAGGACGAAATTACCGCCGTCTTAACCCCTTAAGACCACTCTATCACAACCGTGACAGTCTCAAATCTCATGACGCTGGAAATTTCTCGCGTTCTATGATGAATGGACTCGTTATTTATGGACAACGTATCAATTTCTGAGGTTATTTGATGTGTAATGAGATCTATAGAGCGTCATTTAAAGCGAAATTTACAAAGTTGAAGCGTGAGTCTATCGGGAGTTTTATCCCTTGATCCCTGGGAAGAATGTAAAACCCGAGGGAATCGAAGATTGCCTGTCGCGGGTCGAGATTCGGGCAAAGTAACATCAGAATCTGCTGTGGTAAAACGAACTGAATTTCTTTTCTAGGTATCATTTTCACTGTAAATTACGCGGTTTCTGAAAGAGTACAATGAATTGCTTTACAGCCAAAGAAATAATGTTCTTGTTAGATTTTTCACGTTGTTAAGGTGATTAAGTCGAGAAGATGAGATGGGCTGGCCATGTAGCGCGCATGGATGGGACAAGAGATGTGCACCGGGTATTGGTTGGGAAGCCTGAGGGGAAGAGACCTCTGGGGAGACCTAGACGTAGATGGGAGGATAATCACAGGCGGGATCTATGGGAGATAGGAGTTGAAGGAGACTGGATTTTGTTGGCCCAGGATAGGGTCCGGTGGAGGGCTTTGG